ATCTTCTGCTGCTACAAACACTGGTGTGCGTATATCTTCTGCTGCTATAAACATTGGTGTGCATTCATCTTCCATTTTTACATAGCACCTATTTTTGCATAATGACCTGGTGTTTGGAACCTACTTATGTTGATAAATGAGTACTGGGTTTATTATTATTATTAAAATTAGATTTATTTACTGTCACTCATCCCATCATGAAAAACATCATTTGATATTTTCCCTGTACTTTCTCATCATTTGTACTTTCATTAAAATTTACACTGAATCTCTCCACATCCCAAATGCTATCTTTTGTGAGAAACTTTTCCATAGGTCCCAACCAGATGAAATGTCTCTGTACTTGAAGCCCTCAAGGACATTGGCCAGTTCTTATCCTACAGCACCACACCAGGACTCTAGACAAGAAAAAAGCTTTGCAACATGTGGAGCTATGTTTGCTATAGTAATATTAATCATAGCATTATTTTCCCTATGTATTTAGACTGCTGGGTAAAATGATGAGAGTTATTATAAGCTCTTCACTCTACCTTAAATATACTGTGTATTTTTTTATTAGCTGGAATTGTAACTCCATTTATAAATTGGTTATAATATCATGAAGAACTGCCTTATATCATACTATGGATTTAGATGCAGCTCAAGATGTTTTCTATGTTTTATCCATTACTCATTGTTGAATGTTTTGTGACTCTTTTAGTTGTGGGATCCAGCAAATGAAAAACTGCGAGAATTTTTCCTGCAAGAGGTACGGATGGGAGAACTTTGGTTATCTAGAGGTAAGAATGTAAACATGCTTTTGTAAATATTTATGACAGTTTAAGACGTATTTGTTGATTAATCTTTGAATGTCAAATAACTAGCTAAATGTATTAACCAATTAGCATCAGTTAGTAAGTGTCCTAGCATTTTAAATTTCATCACGCTGCCCAGCTTCACCATATTGGAAAGTTTATATTGCAATCTCACAAGTGGGAGATTAGGGAGCAAAGTCAAATTCTACACCTCATTCACTGTCAGGTTATTGTGGTTGTTAGGTGCCATTGAGTCGGTACAGACCCATAGCGACCTTATGCACAGTAGAA